GAGGTGAACAAGCCATTTGGAAAAGCAGACAAGTGTAGGAAAGGTCTAGGAAGGAAGTGCAGCATATTGCAAAAAGAACAAGGCACTTGGAAACGTATGGAGGAAGGACTAGAAACTTGAGTAGGCAGAAGATGCTTTGGCTGAACTCTTAGTGATTTAGAGTTCTCAGGCCTGGAGCTGTTCCTCGGGGACTGCAATGGAAAGCTGAACAATGCTGTATTGGCTCAGCACTTGGAGCTTGATTTGCCCTTCTTGAAATCCAGTGGCTAATTCAGACCCTGAAAAATGAATTCTATCCTGGCCAGATGGCTCAGTTTAAGAAGAAACAGGCAACTGTGTAGCTGGAATAGCAGGTAATGGAGGTGAAAGGCTGGGTGTAGGGAAAGTCAGCTGTGTACAGGGGGCACAGGATGGAGTCACTCTTCCATGAAATCCAATAAAACCTGATCTGGTCGTGATTAACTCAACATTTTCAAAATCCTTTTAAGAGTTCACAAAGAACATAATGTCTAGCCAGCTCATAGTGGTATATGAGAGACCCCTGACTAATATTCCAGGATGTCAGCCCTCTTCTTGTTTCAGATTTTGATGCTGAACACTTCTTTGCTTCTCAGTTCTGGCTTATTTATTTAGAATTCTTATTGCTTTATCTCATTTATAGCAAGCCCTTGAACATAAGTGAGGAAAAGTACATTATACAGAAACCTCATCTGCTTGAGCAGTCTGAGCAAGGTTTACATTAAACCCACCAACTGATACATATAATTAGTGGCACAACTTCCTCTTGTGCCCAGAACCTGTGAAACTGGTCAACAAAGAGAATGGAGAAGTGTGAAAAGCAGCTTTGACGGGGCTCAGCCATGCTCAAACATCCCCTCAAAACAGGAAGGATATCAAGCACCCCTCAGTACCCAAGCACTGTCTCCTGTACCTGCTCTGTGTCAGACTCCAGTCCAGTTTCTTTCTTCACCCCCTTGCGTGGGGACTCCCCGGGCTGGGAGATGGAATCCACATTGCCTCTTGCTCCCAAGGGTGAGTGCAAAGTGCACCTGAAGGAAACAGGATCAGTGAAGGATTTTATTGGATCTGAACTCCTTCTGACAGGCCTTCATAAATTTGTCTTTTAAAAAAGAGGTCCCTTTGCCATTATATGTATTTTATGGGGAAGCAGATGAATGGCTAACAGTGATTGCTACAAAGAAGAAAAATACCATGATTTGGGATAAATTTACCTGAGAATTGCTATTCCAGCTGAGACCTGCTATCTCAACCCACTTGTCTTGCTTCCTTAACTCACTGTAAGAACACTATGTAGTAAACACACTAATTTTGGCTTACTGATATTGGGTTAATCAATGTACACATCAAAATACTTCCGAAAAATCAATCTGAAATACTGTTGGAAATGCTTGCATGAACCTTACGAGCCGCTGTGCACGTTACGGACTGCCTGAACTATTTTTGCACTTCATGTCTGTACATCAAATAGCTGCTGGGCTCCTTATCTACAAACAGTATGAAAATAACAGCAAAAAAAGAACTGAGTTGCATAGTCTCCTCTGCTTCCCTTCTTTATCTTAGGTGGTAATTTGACTAGAGTGGCAGCAGCTTAGTAGTAACACACACACACACACACTTAGCATTAAAGTCTCTCTTGTTTCTGCCTGAGAGGCAAAGCCAGCGTGTCACTCATGCCTATCTGCCATGTTCTGACTGAGGAGGGGAAAACATTCCCTTTCTTGAATAACTGGATGTGTGACCCAGGTGTGGAGACAGGAGGTAAGAGTAACTGCTACTCCTTTACAGGACACAGGGGGTCAAGATGGGCCAAACCGAACACATAGTGAAGACTTCTGTGATCTTTATGCAGGAGTTTAGGTGCATAAGATAATGCCCAGAAGGACATCTCAGAGCAGCCATGCCATCCATCAGTTCCACTAGGTGAAAACTGTCTCCTGAGGTTCATTCTGATTGAACCTATTTCAGCCTGTTCTTTATTGTAAATACAGCTTTGTGTCTCTAGTTTTGGGGTTTTTTTTCCTCTCTCTCTCATTTTTTTTTTTTTTAATTTAGAAACCTGCCTACATTCATGTCTCACTGTTTGTTGGAAACAGATGGCCCTTCCTGAAGACACACAGTTGAGTGAACAGACACCGACCACTTTACCATGTGGTAGCATGTTTGTAATTAGATATTTAAAGTGCTAGACAATTACTATCGAACCTTGTCATGAGGGAAATTTAGGTCTGTGTTTACCAAGATCTGAATTATAAACTGGATCCCTGCCAGGGCTTTTACTCTTGGGTATAAAATGAAAGAAGACTCTGGTTGAACGCTGAACAACACTGATTAAAGCTGCCACCTGCCCTGTCTCAGACATGACCACTCACTCCTGTCTCCCACCCTGTCCCTTGGCTTTTCTTGACCACTCTATATGGTTTGCCCACGTGCTGAGTTTTGGGATGCAACCAGCTGATCATAGGATGTACCACCTCTGTAACAGCTCTAGTTTAAGGCCCAGCTTTCCACCTGGTTTTGGACTACAGACAGGCAAAAGCAGCTCCACCCCAAGAGAAGTATCAGCCGTTATCATGATGGGAAAAAAGAGCTGATAAAGTTGGAGAAGAGATTGGAAAGTGATAAATCAAGGGAGACATCACAGGGGAGCATTGCAGAAAAAGAGAAAGAAGCTCTAAGAGTTATCTAATCTGTAAGATAATTTAATTACTGCAAAGTTTTGCCCTAGGTGGAAATATCCAGCCTATGGAAGCTGGGAGCAGCAGCACTGGGTGCTGGGGGAGTGTGGCTGTGCCTCTCTCATGTGCCTCCCCTATCACTGCAGCCAGGGCTGTAACTAAACAGTTGCAATGAAGAAACATCAGCTCCCGAAACACAAAGTTCCCTCTGGTTTTAATGAGGGAGGCTGAAGGAAAATATTGAGGCTTAACTGCGGGAAACATTACTGTTTCAAAACTCTGGAAAGGAAAACCAGTTTTATGTCAAAATCTCACACCTAAGCTGCTCTGCTCCGGTGGAATCCTTAGACAGGATGGTTGTGAAAGGTAGAATTATATAACGACTTCATTTTTCTAAGAAATCAAAATTGTGAATTCTAAGTTTGGACAAGGATTTAGCAATGAAATGCTTCAGGGATAACTTGTTTTCAGTGGGGAATTCTGTGTACAAAACTGATTACAGAATGGAGCCAAATCCCTGCCAAGGACATGGACAGGATCATGGAAGCAGATGAACTAAAATTTCCCATGCACTAGAATTCACAACAAGGCCAGGAGCAAAATGAGCACAACCAGAAAGCATTTCAAGAGCCAGGACTGAGGGATGGGAGAAAGCTGTGTACTTTCCTCTGTGTACCTGTAATCGCTTCTGAGATCTTTCTGAAGAGAGGTATGTGTTGATCCTACTGAGAACTAGAACACTAATTTAAATATTCATTGTATAATCAGGGAAAGGAATCTTGGAATACTGTTTGAAAAAAGCACCATAGGGTTGTACAGAGCACAAAAGATGCGAGGATAGCGATGAAGACCAGAAGCAAAACTTTGTAATGCTGTTTGAAATAAATCTGAGGTTAATTTTAAGGATAAAATTTGACAGCCCAGAAAGGAAGCAAGCCAAAGTAAGCATTTCAGGAACACGATTTCGGCTTGGACTCCACATTTCAACAGTAACTCGGGCATCTATGGCAGCACATTATCTTTTAATTCAGCAAAATTTCTCAGGGTTGCAGAAGGCTGGAACAACAGATGGTTTGTTACAGGGACGAGAAGAGCCTCGCTAACAGCTACCATGAATGAGAAATACCCGAACCCCGCTAATGCTGGGCCTGTGGGCAACAGTAAACCCGGGGTTTGGTTTCTCATGACGTGAAGGATTATGCACCCACACAAAACAGCCTCTGCCCGGACAAGCGCACGGCGCAATTGTTGTCCAAACACATCCCACTTCCCCGCCGCGGCTGACTCAGAGCCGCTTCTGAGAAACTCCCAGAGGAACATTTTCTTCTGGAGTTAGGAGGCAGACGCGGGGTGATTTTTCCTGCCCTGTTCTTGAGGGGCGAGGGAAGGGCGGCATTGCTCTGGGGGGGACGGAGGTGTTTTCCCGGCGGAGGGAAGCAGGGAGCGGGCAAGCAGAGGGCAGTGTGAGCACATGGACGCAGCACCGGGAACAGCCGGGAGAGGAGCGCGAGCGCCGGGAGCCGCTCGGGGCGGTGCTGGGGGTGCCTGGCCGTCATTCCCAGGGGTCATTCCCGGGGGTCGTTACCGGTCTCTCTGCACCGGGCCTGGCCGTGAAAGGCACATTTGCATCACGCCTTCACTAAACAAAACAAAACAAAACAAACCCAAAGCCCAACAGAATTAACTCTAAGTTCGGGTCAGGGTTTAGCAATGAGATGCTTCAGGGATGATAACTCGTTTTCTCAATGGGGAATTCTGCGCGCAGAAAAAACCCCTGATAATACAGGACGGAGCCAACCCCCTTGCCGAGGGTACTGACAAGGATCACGAAGGCAGACGAACCATAATTTCCCACCGCACGCGTTAGAATTCGCCGTTCAAGGCCAGGAGCAAAACGAGCACGGGCAGAGAGCGTTTCGCGAGCCAGGACGAACAAAAAGAGAATTAGGAGAAGGAGGAGAAAGAGGAACGGGAAGAGGAGGAAGAAGCAGGAGGATGAAGAGCAGGAATGGGAAAAGCAAAGGGACTACGCACGCCACGCCCACGGCTCCATCCGGGCATGACTGACGTCATCGCCCCTCTGCGCGCTCCCGCCCCAGCCAATGAGAGCGGGGCGCGCTGCCGCAAAGCCTCCTGGGGGCTGTAGTCCCACCTGGCCCCTCCCCGCAGCTGCGCGTCTCCCGCCGCGACCGGGGCAGCGCCCCGCCCCCCCACCCCCTTTGCGGGGCGGGGCCAGACTGCCCTGCCGGCCAATGGCGGGGCGGGTGAAGGGTCGGCGGGCGGGCGCCGCGGCCAATGGGCGCGGGCGGGCGGTGGAGGGGGCGTGGCCGGCGGTGTTTTGTTCGGTTGCCATTGAGGCGCCCGGGCCACACCGCGCGGGGGAGGCGGCGCGGCCGCGCAGGTACCGCGGGGAGGGCGAGGATGGGGTGTGAGGGGGGTTAGTTCAGCGAGCGCGGCCGCGCAGCTACCGCCAGAGCCGCGGGGAGGGCGGGCGTGCGGCACGGGGTGTGTGTGTGTGTGTGTGGAGGGGGGTGGTTAGTTCAGCGAGCGCGGCCGGCGGGTGCCGACAGCCGCGCGGGTGACGGGTAACAGCCGTGTCGGCGACAGCCCCACGGGTAACAGGTAACAATTAACAGGTTACGGCCCCGCAGGTACCAGCCAGCCAGGCGGCAGCACCGGGCGGAGCGGAGGGGAGGGGAGGCGGCCCCGGCCCCGCTGGCAGAGCCCCCCGCGGGCACCGCGCAGCTCGGGGCGGGCGGAGCGGCGAGCGCGGCCCGGGGGGACCCTGCGGGGCGGGGGTGTCCCTGCGGCCGCCCGTGCCTTCTCCAACACCGGTGAAGCGGCGGGGATGTGTTGGATATTCCGCTGTTGTTGTCGGCGCTCGGCGCGGGCCGCACTCCCCCCGCACGGCCGGCGCTGCTGCCGGGGGCTGGAGGCGGCAGCGGCCCCGCCGGCAGGGACAAAACCCCTACTCCCCTTTCCCCCCCCCCAAAAAAAAAAACCAAAACAAAAAAAAACCAAAACAAAACCACAACTTATCGTGTTTAATGATGCCGCTCGGAGCGGGATCCGGGCACACGGGTGGGACACACGGCCCCCAGGGCCCGGCCTGGCCCGGCCGTGCGGGCAAGGGATGGGATGGGGAAGGGATGGGATGATCCCCGCACTCGGCAGGGCTCGGACATTCCTTTGTGCCGCTGCCCTGCACTCACATGTCTGCAGGCACGTCCCCCCTTGATTTTAAGGCGATTCCCCCCCCTCTCTTGCTCAAGGATAGAGTTACCTCCGAGTAGGTGCGTGTTTTCCCGCAATAGCCGCCTTCCATAGTGGATCTTGGGTGGAAGCGGAGGTTTTCTTCCCTCCCCCCCGCCCCTCAAGCAATAGGAAAGTTGGTTTCTAGTTTATGACCCCCAAATTATAAGGACCAGTTGGGCTCAGTGGGCGAGTGAATGGGCTCATTGTGTCATTCCAGCTTTTCTAAGGGCAGTAGCGTGGCTTTGTTCTGGTTGTTTGGCTTATTAAATGTTTTCTGGCCTGCAAGAAGGCTGAACAGAAACGGGTTCTTGAGATTCTGGGTGTTCTTTCGGGAGGTCGCTTTAGGTCTTGTGGAGGATCCTCAGTGCTGGCCTTGAGTCGGGGATCTGAACTCGCGGGGTCGGGATCGGCAAGTTTGGGTGTTTTCCCCTTTAGGGAAAAGACATCACCACCACGGTGTTCAGAAACCAGAATCTGGGCTTTGGAGCAGCACGCCAGCTTTGGGGTTGCAGGGCTGAGAGGGGTCGGGGTGGTTCAGACCCGAAAAGTCCCTGGGTTTTAACGTGCATACCCAATCCTAGGCCTTGGGATGAGTTGAGCCAGCTGGTCGAATCCATTTTCTGGTTCGCTGTGCTTACAAATGAAATTAGCTCCTGAGAACAGTTATTTTACAGCCTTTACTGTTGCACTGGCTCCCGCTCATCCGCCTGACTGATAGGAAATATTTTTGTCAAAACCGTTACTGGCAAGAACCAGTGAGTTTGTGTATCTTGTGGCAAGCTGAAACATCTCTGGATGTGCTTTAGTTGTGAATAGTCTGCTTGCTTCGAGCCTGGCTTATATGAAACCTGGAGTACATTGTTTGCTGAATAGCACAAACTTTCCTGATGAAGCATGTGACTGGGTCTGGTTTTATTGGAGGGGCAGGGTGCATGTTCAAGCCCAGAGAGCTTCTGTCCTGAAAATGCCTGGAAGAGTTGCAGTCGGGGGTCAGAAGGCTAAAAAGCATGCATTTCAAGTAGATCCTAATAAGCTGGTGGAACTCCTAACTAGAAAAATGGGTTTACTGCTCATTCATTTTGAATTTCTGGGAAATACTGTTGATATTAATGTGTCTGCTATTTTTAATTATCCCTATTTTTTGCATCAGTAGCAAGACGTTATTCTTCATCATATGGAAGTACATGCTGCCTGTTAGACAGACTTAAAATACTGCTCTGCAAGATCATCCCCCTAAAGATATGATATCCTTTTGGGATGTTCCTGTGGTAGTCTGGCAGTCCTCTAGTGGCCTTTACCTGCCAGTGCGTAGCCCATAGTTATTGTCTCTTTAATTGGAGAATTAAAGTTGATTAAATAATTATAAAGTGATATTTTGAATTTGAGACAGTTAAATTTTCCTGCTTCCTTTTGAAAAGCTGTTTTTCTGCAGAGTGCTGTGATTCAGAAGAGTGAGGAGGCTGAAAGGAGAATTATTTATGTTTGCAACCATTGTGTTAAACTTTGGTAGTAGAGGTATAAAACTGTATTTATGAAAATATAGTGGACAGATAAACTGAAAACCTAACTGTAGTGAGAAGACTGCAATTTATTGCATGGATTGCTTTATTTAAAACAAAACCTTGAAGGATTTATTCTTTCCTATAGGAATTCCTTGAGAGTCTGGTAGCCATTACTGTGGCTCCCTTTTTAAGTTCCTTTTTTTCCCTTCTCTGTTCTTTCTCCCCCTTCCTCTGTTGCCTCCCCCCAATCTACATTCCTTTGTGTTAACAGTGATGATGGCAGTTCTAGTCACCTCCTGTGGTTTGATAGATTATTCCCTTTAGAAACATGGTGTACTTAAAACTTTCCAAACACAATTCTTTCCTCACTCCTCCACTTTTTGGTGCTGGCTCTGAGTTTTGTTCTAAAAACCTCTGTGGTTCTGCTTGTGAGTTTTCTTAAATGCTAGCAAGAAGTCTAGTTAAACCTTTAGTGGAAAATATTAGTATTTATGTTATGATTTACATTTCTTTTTGTGTGTGTTTATGGCCATAATATAAACAGAAATTTTGCCTTTTGGCAACAATGAGTTTCTCTCTGTCTTGCAAGCTCACAGGTTTTGTGCTTTCTTTAGGGGCAAAACTTTGTTTGCTTTAAACTTTCATTTTTATTTGTATGAAATAAACTTCTTGGACTATTTTTAGATTAGTACAGTCTTGAGATCTGATAGTTATGTAAGAATGATCTTGCAGGTACAGGTTCGTAGGACTTTGTCTTTGGTCTTACACAATCTACGTGTAAACTTAAATTTTGAAATGGAGTACTTGCAACTTTCATTGTAGATATTGTAAGTAACATAATCTTACTGGGGAAGGTGGAACTACTCACAGAAACCCGTGAAGGGCTTTATGAGCACTCCTGAAGGAGGGGTTAATGAGCAGAAGGAAGCCCTGTTCAGTAATTCTAGGGAAGAAATTCATGGCTAGGAAAACAGGTATTGAAATCAGGGCAGTATCTGATACTTTCTTGGTAGGTAAGCTTCAATCTCTTTACCCTGTTCATCTGCAAGAGAGCTATTTATGTTGAAAATATGTTTTCTTGGTATGTTATAAAGTTTGTGTCCTTAAGATCTTAGCACTGAAGTATTACAGTCCAGTGATAGATGCAGAGTCTGTATAAAAAAAAAATCTTCACTTTCTTGGTTTCTCTGAACTGTAAACACTCTTAGGGGATTGAAACAGTCATATTTTTCAGAAAAAATGGTTGTCTTTAAGGATTTGCTTCTCTCTCAAGAGGAGGTCTGTAAAAATAAAGGCAGGGGAGGGGCATATTTTTAATTCTTTCTAGGCCGCTCTACAAATTTTTCTGTGATACAACTGGATATTGTGGTACTGTTGGGTGTAGGAAAATCTGAAATCAAGGTAGCTGTCAGCTCTTTCGCACAGCCATTTCTACATTTTGTGCTGTTGTGGCTTTTTTTGTTTGGCCAGTTTGGGGAATAGTGTCATGAACAAGCTGGCAAGAAGCTGCTCAGCTAACTGCTAATGCTTTGCAGTGGGCGTAAATAACTTCTGAAGGCCGTGTTTCTGCTAATTTTTAGGTTGAGGGGAGGAAGTAGACAGGGTTGTTACTAAATACATTATCTGGGTTATGGCTCTCAGTTTACTGACAGCACTATTTTTTTTTTTTTGAAGGAAGCAGTTGAATATCATTCTTTAGGTAATATGAAGTGTTTCAGTTAGGAAATTTACTGAGTTATAAAAACAAAACTAATATAATTTGCTTTCTGCTGTCTGAGCTTGATTGTATTTTAGTGAAATGCTGGCTGTCATGTTTTGCTTGTTGGATATTAACAGTAAGATCAAGGGTGCTGATTACCTAAGGTTAGCATTGTTGCTCTGAATTTGATATGACAACATGGTTTTAAGTTCCTGTAGGAAAATGTTGGGAAAAATTCTGTCAGTGATATATCAACTATATCAAAGTGCAGGCCCAGAGCTTTGGACATCCAGGGCCAGTGATGGAAGCTGCTCTTCAGTGTGTGTGTCTGTCTGTAAAGATAGAGATAAGAGTGTGAAATCAGTATTTTTTGCTTAGGGCTGTCATTACAAGTGTCATTTGCAAAACTGACTCGGTATACCGAGACCTACATGTTGTTGTGGGGAAGGCATCTGAGATGGAAGAAAGCTGTTCCTGCATTTGCTGAGCTTTAAAATTGGAACCCAGCTGGTACAGGAAATAGTTGAAGAAATAACTGCAGCACCACTGTCTATACCTTTACTTCTGTGCTTTAGCCTGAGCTCTGTGACGCTGGAAGATAGGACCTGAATTCCTTTTTTTCTGAAAAATACTTGTTTTTCCTTAACGCTCCCCTCATCCAACCAAACTTTTTTCTTTTTTTTGTTAATTCACTTTTTTTGGGTTATGAAAGATCACATTTTTAACTTGTCAATTTCTGCATTAAAGTTAAGGTGGGTTAATGTTAAAAATGAAGGAAAATCTTTACTGTCCTAATAAGACCTCATACAACAGGGCTGTGGCTTCTCTTCTACTGTCACCTCCCCTTGAGCCATGAATGGGAATAATAGGAACTTCTGTCGGTGTTATATTAACTTTAGGTCCCTAATTTGCATCTCAAATAACATTGTGAACAGCATTAATGCC